TCGGAGTAGCAGTGGACCCTAGAGGGACGGCGCATAGACCCTCTGGCATGTTGACACTTTCTGGCGCCTCCCAGCCATTGCCCCACTGCCTTGCGGATTAACCTTGAGAGCTATAAGGCTACAGGAGTAAACCCTGAACGAAAAATCTGCGGTGGAGCCCCGCATCAGGCAGACATGCTTACAGAGCTCCAGCAAGACCCCAACGGCAGTATAGACGGAAGAGGCGACCACCATGGAAACCCAATGACTACACTGGCAGACAAAGGCAATGCCTGATCGACAGGCTACGAAGGCAAAACCCAACAAACTGGGCAATCGGCAGTCCATTGCAACTCTCCCTCTCCCCAATCGTTGCACCACTGGATCAGGAAAAGGGAGAGCCAAGATGTGTGGTTGCAGCCTGCGCTCCTGCCTCACCACATAAATCAACTCACGTGCAGCCATCAACCAGCTCCTCATACCTCTCATCGTCAAAACCTCTATACCCCCCAAAGTACTATGGCAATGGACGCGTGGCGACGGGGACAGGTAGAGATGATTGCCGGGAGTCTCTAGTCACAACTCTGCACAGGGAGGGCATAGATAAGAAGGTCGTTTGCACTGGGATCTAGGCAGCAGAGCAATCCGGTCCTGTCTGTGTGACTGTGCAGCCCTTTCAAGGAGCCACTCTGCTCACCCCACATGGGGAGGGGTGGGGGGCTAGAAAAGGTGCCCTAAACATAGCCTGCCTAAAAAACCAACCTTAATGGGCAACCGTTCCCAGTAAGATCATCCTAATGCAGTCGAAAACACAATCAAAATCACAGATCCAAACAAAAACAAACCTCTTATGGTCACTGCATGAAATGTCAGGACCCTTCTGGATACTGGCACAAATGAGCGTCCTGAAAGAAGAACTGCCCTTGTGGCAAGAGCTGGCTAGGTATAACATCGACATAGCAGACATTAGCAAGTCCCGGCTCCCAGATGAGGGCCAACTCACAGAACGGGGGTCTGTATATACTGTACATTCATCTGGAAGGGTAAGCCTGCTGCGGAGAGAAACCGATTTATGGGGTTGGCTTTGTCATCCGCCAATGCATCCTATACAGGCTAACTGAAATGGCTATTGGGATCAACGAGCACCTCATGACATTCTGAGTCCCACCAAATCACTCACGTCATGCTTTTTTCATCAGTGCATACGCCTCAACACTGGATGCAGAGGATGACATCAAGGAGGCCTTTTATGCCGACCTCTACAGAGTGCTAACCTTTATCCCCAGAGAAGACAAGGTTGTGCTCCTTGGCAACTTCAATGCCAGAGTGGGCAGAGATGCCAACATTCGGCAGGGAACCATAGGGAGAAATGGACTCGGGAAGTGTTATCCCAACAGCCTACTCCCCCTCAGCAAGTGTGCTGCACACAACCTCACTATCACCAATACCTTGTTTCGGCAGGACGACAAATTCAAGGGTTCGTGGCAACACCCACAATCCAAACACTGGCATCTCATTGACTACATCATTGTCAGAGAGATCACCGAGATGTCCTCATCACCCATACCATGCGTGGCTCAGACCACTGTGACACTGATCATCGACTAGTCAGAGGCAAGCTCTCACTTCACATGGCCCAAAATGGTGAAGGCAGCAAGCCTACAGAAGAAGTTTTAATACAAAGTGTCTGGAGGATCCAGCGGTAGCACATGCTTTCAAAGAGCAGCTCGAACATGGGCTTATAAACAAAACAACAGCAAACAATGCAAATCCCAGTGTCGAATGGAATACTCTCAACACTGTTATGACAAAAACCTGCAGAGAGACCCTCGGCCAGATCAAAAGAACACACCAGGACTGGTTTGATGAAAATGACCCAGCAATCAAAGTACTCATCGATGATAAAAGTGCTGCTTTTACCGACTAGCAAAACAACCCTCAGTCTCGGACCAAAGCGGATACCTTCCGCAAGAAGAAAGCGGCTGCCCAGCGGGAACTTCGCAGTCTAAAGAATGACTGGCTTAAAATTAAAGAATGAGAAATACCAAAAAATTCTCAATGTGGTTTTAGACCATCAAATGGCACCACCGACATGATCTTTGCTGCCCGCCAGATACGGGAAACGTGCAGAGAACAGCGTCATGACCTGTACATGGCTTTCATCGACCTAACCAAGGCCTTCAACTCGGTCAACAGGGATGCCCTCTAGTGGACCCTCAGCCGGTTTGGCTGCCCACCAAAATTCATCGCCATTGTGAGGCAACTCCACGATGATATGAACGGCAGTGTCCTGCACAAGGGCACCCAGTCCGAGTTCTTCCCCATCCGAACAGGGGTAAAACAAGGATGTGCACTGGCACCAACTCTCTTTTCCATTTTCTTGGATGCTTTCCTTGCTCATGCCAGTGCCAATTTAGCCGGCAGGGTGGACATCCAGTACCAAGTGAAGGGGGGTCTTTTTAACATAAGACGACTCCAGGCAAGAGCCAAGGTGTTGGTAGCTTCCATTACTGAACTTCAGTATGCAGACGACCACACCCTTGTTGCTCACACTGAACATGGCCTACAGGAGATCCTGAACACCTACGCAGATGTGTATGCACACTTCGGTCTCAAGGTGAATTTAAGTAAGACTCGGATTCTCTTTCAACCTGCCCCTGGTTCAGACACACCATCATCCATCCAACTTAACGGTACTACCTTCTCTAAAGTTACCCACTTTCGGTATCTCGGCTCCCACCTGTCCACCACCGCAGACATTGAGGAGATTCAGCATCGGATCAGATGTGCATCTTAAGTCTTTGGCAGACTCCAAAAACTGTGTCTTCAGCTGTACAGAGCTGGAATTATCTACAAAGTTGCTCTTATGTCGAGCAGTGGTCCTTCCCACCCTGCTATATGGCAGTGAGACATGGGTCACATACAGGAGGCACCTCAAGGCACTTGAGAACTTTCACCAACGTAGTCTACGCTCCATCCTACGAGTTTGCTGGGAAGACAAGAGAACAAATGCCATTATTCTCGCTGACACCAACTGTAAGAGCATGAAGGCTACCATTATCCATGAGCAACTACGTTGGACTGGCCATGTTACCCACATGGATGACAGTAGACTGCCAAAGCAGCTACTTTACAGTCACCAAACGAATAGAAAACGTAATGCCAGCATACAACTGAAAAGGTATAAGGATAGTCTTAAGATAAACCTGCAATTGTTCCAAATCGACACCCCCAGCTGGGAGTCAATTACTCCACATCGTAATGCTTGGAGGAGCATCACACTTCACTTCGGGTTAGCCCGACTGCAAACCGAGGCAGTCAAGCGTCAATGCCCGAAAGACGCTGCCGCCACCACCACCTCCGGCTCTAGATGCAGACCTCCACATGTGCAACGAATGTGGATAACCCTGCGGGTCCCGTGATGGCCTCATTAGTTACCTTAAAACTCACCAACCTAGTTGACAAACTTAATAACTCTTATCACTGTATCATAGCTAGATGATCGTCATACTCCATTCCGAGTGACAGTAAAGTAGTAAGTACTGTAGTAGTCACTGAATGCCGCATAGATCTGCAGCTCAACTAACTCAACACAACTAGGATAGCTACTTATGTATTAGGATATTTAATATTAAGGTAATAAAATGGCAGCAAAGGTGTGGGTATTGGGGGAGGCTGGAGACCATGTTGGAGAGAGAAAAAAAAAGTAGTAGTATTAGTGTGTGTGTGTGTGTGTGTGTGTCCTTATGCTTTAACATCATACCTGGGGGAGGAGCTGGGTGACTACCGACTGGAGAGTCAAGATGCAGTTACAGCTTTGTGTTCACTTCCCACACCCATGGATTTCCAGTTTTTTATTTTATAGTTTTATATTATATTTTATTTATTTCTAAGCCACATTGGAGTAATATAATTATTATTCTTTAGCTCTATTAGAGAAAAGTTTTACTAGGGTGTCATTCTGGAATAAATTATGTTTGTTTCCCTTTACTCTAAATATTCTCTTGTTCTAATTGGGTTTTTTTTTATTCTGTTGCAGATGTACTGTACTGTATACGGATTTATGAGTTGAATAAAGCCTTGATTACTGAAGGTGTTTGATCTCATACGACATAGGGTAGACTATAATATCGTGAGAGATATAAATTACGTGTTTATTTACATAGACTTGAATAATATGTAGAGAAAACAATTGTCAAAATTTATTAGTTTTTATAAAAAAAAAAAAAACTTACTCCACACAAATATCAACATCATCTGAAACATTTATCAATTATAACCTAAAATATTATGTCACATATGATATTGGTTTAATTAAAGTTTCTAGCAGTCTATGGTGCTTTAGAGACATGGGAGGTGTATAATTAGTGGGTCAGAGGTGTATTGTTGAATTATTATCACCTGACCTTGGTTGGTCTGGCAAAACAGATAATCCGGCAAGGCTTTGGAACCAAGGGTGCCAGAAAATCGGTGGTGTACTTGTACTATACTGTACTGTAAATAAAGTGATGTTAAACAATATAAAGTATTAATGTAAAAAAAATTAAACTCATTACAGATTTTTATGATTAACATACTGTATTGGGATCCTGTTCGTAAGTACTACAGGTGTTCACGAGATGGGCATTCATAACTTGGACTGCCTACCACTGTTTTCTTAAGAATTTGTTTTTGAGTGGCTGTTGTGATTCATTGTATTGCAGGTGTGTGCAGCTTATTTTGAAGAAAAAATTATTCAAACAATGACATTTTAAAATTCAGATTATTTTCACTGTAAGCTTTTTAAAACTCAAAACCATGTGATAGTCTTGTATTTGGGATTAGACCCAATTGAAACATTTTAATGGTATGTTCACTACTCATCAATCACTGAAAGACAAATGATTCATTTGAGGGAGAAGTTGAGGAGAATCATCCAGGGACTGAAACAGTCCTTCAATTTTCTTACACTAATCAGACAACATCTAGATTAATAACAACTGAATATCAAAATTAAAGGATAACAAAATACAATAACATACCTGCAGACGAATGTACGCGAAAGCTCGCTCATCATCTTCAAACTGAGACTTAAAGTCATCGAACGTTTCTCCTTTGGCCGCCAACATAACCTGGCTCCCATCATACTTGAACACGGCCCTAAATGACAAAGACCATGGTTAAGATTTAGAAAATTATTTTTATACAAGGGGTACTTATCAATTCAACAGTTATCAGCATAAAGCAAAGCCAGCCACTCATTACACATTAATGAATACCAGGCCTGCTGTACCCTATACAATTCAAAGCTAAACTCTTTCTTCAACTAAAACAAGTACTCGGTACATCACAGTCTTCAGAAAGAAAATTTATACAAGGTTTTAATTGTCTAGAAATAAACAAGGGGGAATCATGTTACTTTAACATGTAAAGGCAATAAATCAAATCATTGGATGAATGTGTGCCGAATCAATTAAATTTTAATATTTATTCCTTGATAGAGGAAGCAGGATCCTAGAGCTGTCACTAGGTACCTAAGTGTGCTGAATCTTCTCTCAGTTATCCCTAAATGGTGAAAATTAAAATTAGGTCCCATGGGCATTGATGGATTACTAGGAGCTGTGTAGATAATGCACAATGGGTGCTAAGCCTTCAGTACCTAAGGAGGCAGCATAGACAGTTGCTCTGGAAACAAACCAGCAATCCAAAGGACACCCTTGCCACAAATTAAAATTGGTAAATGTTAGAATTCTCAACTACATGGGAACACATGCCAATATGCATATTCGATTCCGGGGACCTCTCTTCATACACTCGGTGGTAGAGCTCCCATCCCTGTTACCAGTCACTATTTTCTTGCCATAAACTAAAATAATTTCCAATACAAGTACAGCTACTGTACTGGAACTGGTCAGCTGAACACTAAAGCAAGCAACCTTTATCCTTATGCCCATTTATCATAAATAATAATGCTGATCTTATTGGAGTGGCATGTTGGTCAAGTACAGCTTGTTGAATAACCTGGGCTCTGGCTAACAAAATTGCTTGTTTTATTATACTGTACTGTACTGTATACATAGCATATTACCTAGAAAATGTGATACAGGAAAAATGTCCAAGCCAAAGCATGTCCCACAGACCTGAAGATACATTATGGGCAGTGTGGATAAGGCACTCTATACTGTACAAAGCCTTCCATACTTCCCCAACAGTAAAGGAAGTACCCTTCACAGTTGGGTGAACCAGGGGTGCTGTGGTTGTAAACTCTCAGAACGAGGCGAGTACTGTACCCATTTTCACCACACCCCAAGTGCCAAATATGAGAGAATAAGCTCAAGCGCTTCACTGTATATTATGGTAGTGATCACGTGTGCCCCAGTTATCCCAATTCGTGATACGTTTTATTAAACCACAATGTTTAATTTTGGATGAAAAACAGCAAGAGATATCTGTAAAAGAAACAAATGTGTCACTCTCCAGAGCAATAGGCTGTCCCGTATATCATGACCGTGCTATTAATAGATATTTGTTGTTGGTCATGTTTAATACTGCATACTATCACTAATGTTTCTTTTCCAATTTTTATGAAAGCCTCAATTTTGTTAATTAAATTCCAATGAGTAACTACTATTGTTAAATATCTAAATAATGCTTGCCAAATGAAAAAGTGGACCAGTCTCAAGGGAGAAGCCCATTGGTGTTACAGCATTGCAAGAGTTTAAGTTACAGCTGTCTAATGTTCACTGTGGTGACTGGTCTGGTGATGCTATAACTACAGTAGGTTGTAAAGCCCCACACACGGAGTCATCACAAAAAACTGTCAACCTACACTGACTAACTGGTATGAGGAATGTGACGTTGGCCAGCATTCAGCTGGCTGGATCTCGCAAAATTCACGATATTTTACGCCAAATATAAGACTTGGTTACATGAGCTAGTATTTGAAAAATTAAAAAAAAACGCGAAATATGAGACCTTGCTGTATGTTCTCCCACATTACATATGAATGGAGGAAACTGCAGCAGGCCTATTGGCCCATACTGGGCAGTCCAATTTACACCCAACCCCTATTGTTCATATATTCATTCAACCTATGCTTGAAGCTATCCAGCATATTCGAGTTAATGATGATATTTGGAAACTTGTTCCTCTTGTCCACTACTCTATTTCCAAACCAATGTTTACCTATTTTGCGCCTAAATCTAAATTTGTCTAATTAAAACCATTGTTACGAGTTCGCTCCTGGTTGGATAGTTTGAGTACCTTTGTAATGTCCCCTTTGTTCAGCCCCAACTTCCATTTATACACCTCTATCATATCGCCCCTCGCTCTACGTCTCTCGAGGGAGTGCAGATTAAGATGCTTTAACCTGTCTCTGTACTCAAGGTTCCTAATGCCCTGGATTAGTTTTGTCATCCTCCTATGAATGCTTTCTAGGGATTCTATATCCATTCTGTAGTAAGGTAACCAGAACCGAATCGCGTAATCCAAGTGAGGTGTCACAAGCGCAAGATACAGTTTTAGGATGACCTCGCTAGTCTTGTAACTAACACGCCTTTGTATGAACCCAAGTACTTTATTAGCCTTGTTTCGAGCAAATACACATTGTTTAATTGGCTTAAGATTCTTACTTATCATTACTCCTAAATCCTTCTCAGTCGGATTTCTCAATAACATCGTTGTTCATCTGGTATCTGGTTTTCTTGTTTACATCTCCTATACTGAGTACTTTACATTTGTTCACATTGAATTTCATCTACCATTTTTCAGACCATTCGAAAAATTTGTTTAGATCTTCCTGTAGTTTTGCAGAGTCCTAGTCAGAATTAATTACGTACACGCCCTATTTAAGTGTCATCAGCAAATTGATCTTAATAATCCTACTACATATTTTGTAGAAACCAAGAGACAATTCTATTCCAACTGTTAAAGATCTGATTCACTACCAAGTGGAACAAACACCCAAACTGCTGGACCTTTTCATAACTAATGAGGAGGGTATGGTTGCCAAAATGGAATATCTAGTCTCTGTTGCCCCACCAGTCACCACATGAAGTCCTGATTTAACTATTACATGGTTCATGACAAAAGCAGGCCAAGGTTCAATTATTACAAGGGCTATTAAGACAGGATGTGGGGTTTTCACTGGCCTGACTCACTGAGATACAAGAAAACACACTATGCTGAATATCACAACCAGTAAAGTGAACTGTTTGTGAGATACTGTAAATGTATACCCCAGACCAAACCCATTGGCTCCAGGAATACAAGGAGACTGCTACACATGAACCATGCGGGAGCTAACAAAATTAAGAAAAAATTCTAAAATTCAAGATGCGAGCAAGACAGAAGGATGTATGCCAGGTTCAGGAACCAGCAAAGTCAGAGTGCAGAAAGGATGAAAAGAAGTTCCAAAGGCAGATTGCAAGCAAGGTAAAGTCAAACCCAAAGGCTTTCTACCTTTATGCAAAATTGAAATTAAAAATGCGTGTAAACAGTAAACCCGCAATGACTCGAGACACATGGGGCTCTGGCCTTGCCGAGTTATCCCAAATTCCGACTTAAGAGGCACCCCCCCTCCTACAAAAATAAAAATAAATAAAAAATTAGGCCCATATATGTGTACAGTACATGTAATTACTAAAAATAAAAAGTAACGCTTACCAGCATTGCAGGTGAAGACTGAATCATCATAGTAGGCGATACAGATATGGTAGCTGACACAGAGGCATGCCGAGTTATAGAGGGTTTACTGTAGGTGTATCAATCTGAGGCTTGATGATGGTGGTAGTTATGCAAATCAGGATCAGGAAAAGGCAGAGGCATTAAACAAATCTTTCCTCACATGTTCACAAGAGAGCATGTGAACAATCTTCCTGCATTTGAGGAAAGATGGTTTGATAGCACTGACCAGTGTGTTCTCAGAAGAGGGTATAAGAAATAAATTGTCAAAGCTTAAGGTTCATAAGAGTTCCGGCCCAGACATGGTGCATCCTAGAGTGCTAAGAGTTGTGCAATGAGCTTGCCAACCTCAGGATCCTGTTCTGTAAATGCCTGGAGGAGCAAAAGGTTCCCAGAGACTGGAAAATGGTTTATGCGAGTCCTACATTCAATTTTAGACCAGTGAGCCTGACCAGCATAGTGTGCAAAGTACTAGAGAGCATTCATTATAAGAGATGACATGATAGAACATCTACAAAAAAACCTTGTGAAGGACTGCCAACATGTTTTCTGCTGGGACACTCCTGCTTGACACAATTACTCAAGGTCCTGGATGTTTGGACCCAGATCCTGGAGCATGGTGGTAAAATCAACAAAATATATCTGGATTTTGCCAAGGGTTTCAACAGCATACTCCCATAAAAAGCCAGGAATTAAACTGGAAGCATATGGAATTCGGGTTAGTTTCCTAGCGTGGATCAGAGACTTTCTTCAAGGGCGCAAGCATTGTGTGGTCATTAATGGCACAAAATTGTCATGGTTACCCGTGACAAGCAGGGTACCACAGAGCAAGTGTACTGAGCCCATTGTCATTTGTTTTTTTTCATAAATGACATGCCAGAAGCTATACGCTCCTCCATACAAATGTTTGTGTACAATGCCAAGTTATTCATTGAAATTAAAAACCAAACAAACTGAAGAGTTACAGAAAGACCCGAGAGCTTCAAGAATGGTCGAAGAAATGGCTGTTAAGATTCATTATCATCAACTATAAGAGGATGCACCTAGGTCGTACCAACAGTAAGGAGGTGTATCACATGTCCCAACAGGATGACTAAAAAGCTTCGAGACCGAATGTGAAAAGGACTTGGGTGTTGACAACGAACCAAAGTTCTCGGGCCATTGTGAAGTGAATCAATCGGCTAAACTTGTATGTTTTATAAGAAAGTCATCTGGAGTACTGTCACCCCATCTGGACCAAGATATACTCGAGACTTTCAATTGATTGAAATGTCCAAATGAGGGCCACCAGACTGGTGCTTGCACTATGGCACCTCAAGTTACCCAGAGATTAGAATGCCTGCAACTGCCAAGCTTGTACTATAGACATGCAAGGGGTGACCTAATTGAAGTTTATAAGCATCTCAGAGGGCACTACTCAGTGAGTGTCTCATACCTGGAGCTGAAAGATGTCCATCCCACAAGGAGTCACAGCTCAA